AAGTGGATCCCCGAGTCTAATGTCTTTCGCTACAGAACTTATAGTCTCAGTTTACTTATAGTCTAATGATCATACGCCTTTTGTATTTTGAGGTGTGTTTATGTGTGTGTGTTGTGTACATGCACACCAGTCCTGGGACTTGAGCTCAGGCCTCTTGATCTTACTTAGCTTTTTGTTCAAGGCTTGATTTCTACCACTTGAGCCATAACTCTACTTCCTGCTTTTTTGCTGGTTAGAGATAAGAGTCACATGGACTTTTCTGCATGGGCTGGCTTTGAACTGCGATCCTCAGATCTCAGCCTCCTGAACAGCAGGTATAAGCCATCAGTGCTCACCTGGCTCAGGTAAGTCTTTTTTTGTAAAAACGAAAACAGGCATTTGTCTACACAAGGACTGAAGTAGTTACTATTAGGTTGGTTCTAGAGTTTGTTACTCAGATGCTATTAAAATGTTGATTACCATGCTATTAAAATGTTTGCATTGGTCCAAAGTTTCAGGAAGGTGCATAAGTATATACACAGACATCAGAAGCTGAGGAAAAGGGAAAAGCAAACCAAGGGAAAGGAAATGTCAAAGTTTGGGGCAATACATTAATAAGAAGAAAGCCACAGGCGTGTTCCCTGTAGGCTGTGCAAGTATTTTATATAAAATGACATCATAGTTGAATATCAACTACACTTCCTTAAACCATGCCTAGCTTTTTATTTTATCAGCAACAACTAGTTGTATGATAGGGAGGGTTATTTTAACATGTCTATTTATGTATATGAGGCATCTTGATCATAATCACTCTCTTGGAGTAGCTTATTTAAAATACTTAATTTGAAGCTAAGCACTCAATGCTTGCCATCCTAGCTACTCAGGAGGCTGAGATCTGAGGATCATAGTTCAAAGCCAGCCCTGGTAGAAAAGTCTGTGAGAATCTTATCTCCAATTAACCACTAAAAACTGGAAGTGGAGGTAAGATTCAAATGATGCATGGGGCTGGGAAGGTGGCTCAGTGGTAGAGTGCTTGCCTTGCATACCTGAGGCCCTGGGTTCGATTCCTCAGCACCACATAAGCAAAAAGAAAAAAGCCAGAAGTGGCGCTGTGGCTCAAGTGGTAGAGTGCTAGCCTTG